TACTACTACTACTACTACTACTACTACTACTACTACTACTACTACTAACCACCTACAACCAATACCACGACCACTACTACCACTACGACGACTACTATTACGACTACCACTACCACTACTACTACTACTACTACTACGACTACCACTACGACGACGACGATGACGACTACTACTACTAATACCACCTCCTAAATACTCACTTTAACCCTGAAACTACTCCTACTAACTAATGCTCCTACTACTAATACGACTACAGCCAAGAACATGCTTTTGGGATCTTTTGGGTGTGGTAGCAAGCACTGCAGGCACCTCTTTTTGGACCACATGACCTCCTCAAAATGATGTCGAAAGCACCAAAAACTGAACAACCCTTGTAGCTAACAAGATGAAACAAGCGTAGCTAACTTGGCCAAGCCTTCCGAACTACCTTCAATGATATCCCATGTGACCAGGGCAGCTCTTCTATCAACAACAATGACGACGACAAAACACAAACACAGACCACAACAACAACAACAACTTCGACCTCAACCTCACCAACGACAAAGGTGCTTACAAGGGTAATTAAGAGCGTTTAATTAGACTGTATGGCCCCTGCAAATGGAGCCTGGTTTGCCTGGTTTGCGCCATGGCGTTGCAGAACACGGCCAGTGCGGAACCCCCATGGCCACATTCAACTCCTACACTGCTACAGCCGTGCCGAAGCCGCTCTTCCTCCCCTTTGGGGAAGCCAGGGCAGCGTCCGCCACGTTCGGAACCCGCCACGTGTGCTAGGCCCGCTCGGCGAAGAGGATCACCGCCTGGTGACCGACGTGACGTCTTAAGATGGATCAAAATGGATCAATCATACAGTGCCCTATTTCATAAGTACGCATTCATATTTGACGTCTCCCAATATCTCTAGTAATGATCCAAATACGATCAAACACGTATCTCATTTGCCCATGCTCTATCTACGTGGACAAAAATTGAGCAACGCAACTCTTGCATCATATCGTTTTGTTGAGCCGCACGGCCGCACTGGCCGCTAGTGTTCATCGTTATCACCCAATTTATATAGATCTCTTCATATCCTCCGTACCTCAACTATTGGCCTGCAGATTCTGCAATGTATTGAAACATTGGTGGTAACAAACAATGAATATACACCTTCTTTATGAAGTGGTTTGCCGCTCTCTTTATTCAATGGCCCCCGGCCGGACATCATAGAAAAACCCGGCAAAAATATGAGAGGAAAGGCCCCACACCATGAGTTTTTACGACCTAACCAAACCCGGAAGAACAAATCTGATGGTAACATATACTCATATCCAGGCTTTTATGAAATGACTGCACCAAACTCCGAAGAATCGTTTTCTCCATGACATTGCTCCAAAATCTGTGACATGTTTCGCTTGAGACCTCGGGGATGCTGGAGTCATCAAAATAGAGAGAAACCACTCACTCGTAAAATAACATTGCTTGCTCAAGAGCATATCCACAAGTGCCATGTGTATAATATGTCATTGCCTGCATCATGATCAAAGCTGATTGCGCTCACATGCTGAACCTACCTGCGCTCCATGTTTGTTTAATGAGATGACTTGCCAACCATTTCTACAAAAAGATGTTCCAACATGTCCAAGTCCAGGGCGAAGTGACCCTTGGTAACCCACTCTGTAGTGGAACGGGATCCCCATTTCATACAGGTTAACTCAGGGGAGATAAATTCAACACCATTTCTGCTCGAATCCCTGCTTCAATCTCATTAATTACCCTCAAGACTTGGCCAGTCTCGCGCGATGAAGGGAACGTCAGATCCGTTTTTTCAATATGCAAACATGGGGAATATCTCTAGATTCCCCTTTTGACACCTTTGATTGCTTCCAACCAGAGTGGTTGAAGTTTTGGTTTTCAGCTGATTTAAAATTGAATTACTTAACTTAAAATATTGGTCCTATACTATGTCCTATTCCCTCGCAAAGAATACAAGACCACTCCAAGAACAGCCGACCGTGGGTTTCCACGACGCGCAGCGCGATGCCGGGCGATGCCGCGCGCCTGCAGTACAAATGGAATCACAGAACTCATGATGCTGGCACTGGAGCTCAGATACGTGCCCTCACCTTGGCATTCGGGAGATCCCCAAAGCAGCGATCAAGTATCACATCGACAGTCGCCATGAAGGTCCAATGGAGTGTTCTTTTTTTGGGGTGTGGGGCTTATGCACTGGGTCTGTACCTACGCGGGTGCCTATGCTTGGGCTCCCCTCTCAAGCAAATGCCTACGCGAGAGGTTCTCTCTGTTAGGTGCCTACGCGGGATGCCCAGGGTGTATGTTAGCCTAGACGGTCAGGCGGATTTCAAGACGCGCACGCTGCGTCAGATGTACTGGAGGAAGATGTGGACGAACCAGAAGTAGATGATGAAACACGAAGGGCCTGTGCCTGCCGTCTCTTTGTAGCAGCTCCATCCCGAAGCCTTACAGTAGCACGAGACAACAAGTTAAACAGTGACTTCATCTGCAGGTTCCCTGCTGGTCGGTGGCTGCAAGTGCTTCTGATCGAGATGTCGTCGTGCTTCTGCTCGTTGGTTTGGCCTGGCCAACTGGCCCCGTGCCTTCCCAAGATCATTCACCAGCCCAGAAACCACGGCGCCATGTCTTGGACATATCTGCGCCATCATCCATATCTCTTTCGACGACGTCCCAGTGTCGAAGCAGGACGCCGCAGGACGCCACACTGAAAACTTGGTTGGTCACCTTGATGCCATGGGCAAATCCTGCAGCACTCTCAGCTTTCAAACAATAAGTTCTTGTGATGAGGAAGAGTGGACACTGGAAGACACTTTGAGGACTCGGTCGACTCGGTCTGTCTCCAAGAAGAAAACTGCATGATGTGGGTCGAACTGTTCTCTCCAGGGTCTCGGCTCTGTGTTGACCATAGATGGGGCGACTCCAGCTTTGTAGCAGGCCACCAGATCTTCTACCCCATAGATGGGGCGACTATGGATGAAGTCATCAATCCATTATGGTGCTGATTGAAGACGTTTCCGGCCAGAACATCCAGTCACGTTTGTTAGTCTCAATCCCTACCTTTGGGATTGCGGATTTCATGGAAAACATGCGCAAACCAGAAAACCCATCAAAACACCCAAAACCCGTAGGGGATGTGTTCGCCGGACCCGGCTAACTCTGAGAATCTTGACAACAACAAAAACAATACAAACAACATGACAAATAAGAAACAACTCCAAAAAAAACACATTGAAAAAACACAACAGCAAAAACAAATCCAAAAAATAAAAAACACACATGAAAAAAAGGAACCAACAAAACAACAAATGAACATGCAAAAGCAAATGGCATCATGTTTTTTCGTTGTTTTTGTTTGCTTTTTTGGGGGGCATCCTTTGTGGTAAGTTTTAGTGTTTACGAGTTGTCCTTTTTCCTCGCACGTTTTCCTTTTTTTAGTCTATCTTGTTGTTCGTTTCTTTTTTTGTTTATGACAAGCTGTTTTTGTGGTTTTCGCTTTTTCGCTTTGGCGCCTTTCGGGGACGCGTCTTTGTTGCTTTCCTTTTGCGTTTTTTGTTGTTGTGCTTTGGCTCTTTCATTTGCATTGTTTTGCTTTTTCCCCACCCGTAGGACTGTGGGGTTGTTAGATTTTTCCCCACCCGTAGGACTGTGGGGTTGTTAGATTTTTAGAACTTTGGACTTCAGTACGCCCGGTAGCCCAACTTAGCTCTTCCACAGCACACTGGCCAAAGTGATCCCTGAGTAGCGCAACTTAGCTCTTCCACAGCACACTGGCCAAAGTGATCCCTGAGTAGCGCAACTTAGCTCTTCCACAGCACACTGGCCAAAGTGATCCCTGAGTAGCGCAACTTAG